CTGAGAAATTTAATCTTTTTTGTTCAAAAAAATTCAATCTTTGTTCATAAAACGAGAAAAGGATGAAAATGTAGGTTGCCCGAGGAAAGGTTCGTTGAATTTGGTAACTTTGGCGAAGGGCGCCAGTGCCGGTATAACATCGTCTTTTGCAATTGATTGCAACAGCCGCGGAGCACCTGAAAGCAGTACCAATAAAGTTTCTTCCACCTACATAAAACGTAAATGTCGGTCATAGTAATGTGTATCAGGCGCGCAAAGATGGAATGATAAATACTGGAATTGTTCAAAAACTGTCAATTAATATATAAAGCAGACCAATTTGAATCGATTCATTTGACGCAGCAAACCAAATTTATAACAGCTGTTGTGATACTTATACCAACTACCTTTTATAACCTAGTTCTCTAACTCTGAAGGTTTTCCAACATCTTTGACTAATACTACATCTTCTAATGGGTCAGCTTTCTAGTACTCATGGAGTTCGTTTCTTCCCCTGAAAGAACTACCTGCACGACGGTTTTTTCTAGCAAAAGAATTTTGGCAAGACGCTTCGAGATATTTGGCCAATACCACCTCACTTTGAGCGTTGCCACACTCGAACTAAGATGAAGCACTTTACTAATTAGGAATAAATATAAAATAAAAAAATACGGCTTCCAAAGCCCTAAAGTTTCAAATCCGCTTGAATCGTTCTCAGACTATAAACACCGAGCTTTGAAAAGCGATTTTTATACCTCCTTTCACTCAACTTGTGTCTCTAATCTGGACGCCAAAATCGTCAGTTCCTTATCGGCTCCCTTTCAAAGCTAACTGCCAGGTGGATATGGATATAAGCACGTCGCCGGAAAAAAGCGAGACTTGTAAACTTATTTATATGAGAGGCATGGGTGATAAGAAAGTGATGAAGTAACTCAAACTTACTGCATAAGCACTGCAAGGCAGCGCCGAAAGTAGACAGGAAGGAGCCAACGACCACAACCCATGGTGAAGGCCATGATAACAGGGCAACGATCAGTGAGCTATCAACACTTCGTCCATATCTCAAATATGGAAGAAAATGAAGTATAAAGTAGCTCAAAATCAGAAGTGTTATGTTAGAGGTGTTGTTGAAAAGAATCTTCATTGCCAGGCCTGGTACTCCCTTAGGCAATGGTACTTCACCACTTCAATCAACCACCAAAAAACCGATTCTTCTAGGATTCTAAAATCGTTTCGACATCAAACTGATCTGGTTTACGCCGATAAATCTGGACCCTGGCAGTTTGCTTATAAAAACTCCTTGAGAAAGCAGCTGATAGCCTTAGCGTGTTAATAATGTGCTGCTACTTGTGTCTCAGAATGCTATTACGAGTGGAATCTGAAAGAGATTCTGGCTTCGACTGTGAATTATCCAAAGGCTAAATAACTTAAATTCTGAGAATTGTTTTCGTCACATAATTATGGCTGTAACAGTGATAAAGATTTCACTTCAAAAAAATCCACTTCAAAAAAAGTCTCTGAAAAACCAACGAAATCAGTGAAAATGAGAACTTATCGCGTAGAACAGGCCCAGTAATTGAAGCACCGAACAGTAGTGCTAGTGAATAGTAAATAATGGATGTGGTTAGCGTTGCAGCAATGGTTCCACACGGAATCGATTTCTGTGGATCTTTTAGGTCGCCTGAATGGCATAAAACTGTATAATCACTAGCTATCACTAACTGGCTCATGAAGGGGACGAAAATGTAAAATACAATCGTAAAATCTATCCTTACATCACAGTTTTTCCTGCACCATTCTTACTTTTGAAGGATTTCGAAGGAGCAAGATGCACCAGTGGCGACAAGAAAAGCTACCAACAAACAGCTGCTAGCCAAAATATTAAAGTAGGTAATTAATATCCAATATTAGTTCATTTTTCTGGGAATCCAGTTCTTCAAGCTAACTTCTGCCACTTTTTATGCGTTTTTGCCGTGCAGCGCTAGAGCGCTGCAATAGGCAGCAAAAACGCATATTGC